TAAATGCATTCCTCTAAGTCTTCCTACCAATATGACCATGTTGAGAAAACAAGGTCAAACAACCTCTATAAAACGAAAGGAGACTGCGACCACACAAACACCACACCATCTTGGTCTTCATACTTAAGAAAAGTATAGATGACCAAAGTTGTTCAGAAAGTATATTTGACGCATAAAACTAGATACAAGAAACTTTGGGAACGGAAAATACAAACAACGAGTATGTTTATTTGTTCGTTCGTGTAAACATTTTAACATGGTGAGCGGAGTGAAGAAAGAAGAGGGAAGGAAGAAGAGCGACCTGCCATCAGTAAAGAGGACAAAAGGCAGAAAACAGGTAGAAGATTATTTTCACAGACGTTTACAAAAGGTAATTTTGTTGAGCAAAAGGAGAGGCAGGAATTGAAGGATTAGATAAGTTGAAAAATTAACTCCACATATGGGAACCGGAACCAAAATAATCAAGGTCCACGTAATCCACAAGATTCAGTGTCACTAGACATAGCAAGTTCGGGCGAAATGATGAAATACACAAGTGGGAAGAAAGGATTGGAAAGAGTGGAAGGATATAAAAACTGGTTAAAGTCAAGACACCTTTGCAAAGTCGTTTGCGAGCAAGAGAGAAAAGAGAGTTGGAGGAGGATGAAGTGAAATGTGTCCTCAGAAGCGATAGAGACAATGTGTTCTAAAATGCATTTCAAGACAAAAAATCGTCAAGTTTGGCAAAGTCGACGATCCCGACAGAATTTTCAGATCGAAATTTGAACATTACTTCTGCTCTACCGTCCAAAAGCGTGTCTGCTTTGCAAGTACATCTATTTGTGCCGCTGGCCGTGTTTTGACCGCGAGGTAATGCCACTGCGGTGTCGATGATGACGGCTGCTGGACGACGTGGAGGAAGACCTCTTAACGAGAGATGAACCAGCCGAAGCGCCAGTGCTACCGGTGATCAGCGAGTTGCCGAGCCCGTCGCGAGGACTGGTGGATCCTGCTCTGGCTAACGAGCGAGAAGAAACTAGATAATTTGGAATCAATTATTGAACAAGTGATAGTGACCGTGCACTAAGAATAGTGAGAAGAAGATAAAGCCCTCATGCGTTTGGGTTCAGAACTAGTTAAATTCATCATAAAATCGCAAGAATGGAGTAGTCACAATAGAGGTAAACAAGAGGCAAATTGACATCAGGTCACAAATGATAATGGCGCGGGGAGGAGTGCAAAATGGAAAGTGGGGAAAAGCAGTGCGATGGTTTGCCAAAAATGAGCTATTTGAGAAACGTTAAGGCTGAGAAGGAGCGAGAAGTTAAATGTAATCTACCTAAAATTCAAGAGACATAAAGATAGGCCAGCAAAGTAATACAATGCCCGAAATTGTGGAGGGCAATGCGCAACAGATTAAGTCCCATATTTTTCCAATCCCCACCTAATCAAGTCATGTAGCTTAAAACTAGAGCACCCAAAAGAGAGGTTAATCCGTTGTCAGGATAATCCATTGGAATAATTCGCTCGTAAGCAGTTTCTACTTTATTTAAACCTCCAAACGTCCACGTCTTTCCTCAGCGAAATTATCAACTTGGCCAAATAAAGTGGGCTTGCGGGTTAGGTAGGGGAGAAGAGTACCATGAGCTTACGACAATCCAGGTTAATGGAATTGCCGTCACTTTTCACTTGAAGGGTTTTACTTTGGTGCTAAGGATGGCTTTGCTCACTGGTGGCAACGAAACGGCAAATTATGGTTAATACGGCAAGGCAACTATGTTGAGAAATTGGGACGGAATGTTTAACAATCAGCAACAAACTTGCGTATAAACATACCTTGATATAGACAGTTGAGACAAACAAATCCTATTAGTAGCTGCTGATCTTGCCGAATGGCTTCGAACACTGAGTTTCTTGACAAATAGAACTCTGAATAATTTCGTAAGGCAAAATAGTACAGTGAGGAGCTTGGCTCTACTAATTTTACATTAGAAAAGGAGCCATTATTATGAATTGTTGAGCTCACTTT